ATAGAATAGAATAGAATAGAATAGAATAGAATAGAATAGAATAGAATTGAGGGACCATAGAATAGAATAAAATAATACCAAAGTAGAATAGTAGAATACAATAAAATAAAATAATAATAATATTCGATGTTCTAAACACCTTTTCTGTTTTCATAGTCTCTGCAGGAAGATTATAGAGTAACCAGCTGGATTTATTTGAAACTCTTGATAATTTAACTCAGGTTTTGCTTGTGGATTTCACATGCAGAAATATCTGTCATTTTCCCAGGTGTCAATACCATAATACCTCTGATGATGGAATGATATACAAACACACACACACACACACAGAGAGGGTATCCTTTTACCTTTGTAACAGTTAACATATAAAAATTGGTCACGCTGTTCTCATGGGCACGCTTAATTCGCAATCTGCACTCTTCTTCATCAATTAATTCACCAACATATTCGTTGACAAATTCACCCTAAAAAAAAAATCAAAAAGAGAAATGGACTTATAAACGGGAGTATTTATACTATAGAGCTGTATTTCTCAACCCGCTATTAAAAGAAAATGAAAGGAAAAAAAGGAATTTCATAAGATTTCATTTAGTGTTGATAGTTCAAGCATCTTTTGTGGGTTTGCTTGACTGTTTTTAACAACAAAAAATGTTGGTGAAACAGCTCACTTCCTTGCTTGAATAGAGATGGGGGGAGAAATTAAAAGATCTTTTAAGTGAATAATAAAAGAATTCCAGATTCTAAGAATCTAGCTAAACTTTACAAGTGACGCTTAGCTATGTGTGTTTCTATTATTTTACATTCGTGTAGAAAATGAGAAATGTCATAAGGCAGCATTTCCCCCCCCCCTCTTTCATTCTGGATTAGTTTTTATCTTTGTCCTTTCATTTTATTTTTAAAGAATAAAAAGGAATTAGGTATGAGCTACAGTGATGCAGTGGTTAGAGTGCAGTCCTGCAAGCTACTTCTGCTGACTGCTGGCTGTCTGCAATTTGGCAGTTCAAATCTCACCAGGCTCAACACTGACTCAGCCTTCTGTCCTTCAGAGGTGGGTAAAATGGGGACCCAGATTGTTGGGGGCAATAGGCTGACTCTGTAAACTGCTTAGAGAGGGGCTGTAAAAGCATTGTGAAGCGGTATATAAGTCTAAGTGCTATTGTTATTATCCTCCATCCCTCCCTCCCTTCCCACACTCTCTCCCAGTGGTCAGAATGCAGTATTGCAGGCTGTCCACTGCCACCAGTTCAATCCTGACCAGCTCAAGCCTTCCATTCTTCTGAGGTGGGTAAAATGAGGACCCAAATTGTTGGGGGCACTAGGCTGACCCTTCCTTCCTTCCTTCCTTCCTTCCTTCCTTCCTTCCTTCCTTCCTTCCTTCCCTTCCCTTCCCTTCCCTTCCCTTCCCTTCCCTTCCCTCCCTCCCTCTAACCACTGCCAGCAGTTTGATCCTGACTGACTTAAGGTTGACTCAGCCTTCCATCCTTCTGAGGTCGGTAAAATGAGGACCCAGACTGTTGGGGGCAAGAGGCTGACTCTGTAAACTGCTTAGAGAGGTCTGTAAAAGCATGGTGAAGCGGGATATAGTAAGTCTAAGTGCTAGTGCTAACCCATTCAAAAACAAGCAAGCTTCTGGGTACCTTTTTAATGTTCCGTTTGGTCCGCAGACCCCAGCCGCGTCGATCAGTTTTGATGATTTCTGCTTCCGGATAGAGTCTCTTGGTAAAGCACTGGTTTTGGCAGCGTTCTCCCGCAGGGCAAACTTGAGGGTGACACTCGTACTGCAGCATTCGATTTAAGCACTCTGACTCCAGGCCACAAGGGTTCTCATCCGCTGGCTTACAGTTACACCGTGGGATCTCGGACAGGTCCGCAACTTGGATCTGGACTTTTCCTACCACTTTGTTGGACTGTGGGATGCAGAGTGAGGGGCAGAGGCAGAGCATTAGTTCACAGTAAAGGAGAATCAGACCAGATCTCTATAATAAAGTATTTTGCTCTTTACACCCAAAATGTTTCAAGTGAATCTCTTTTGCTGCTAATAATGGAAAATACTTAGGCCAGAACATTGCTTTTAGTTAGAATATTCCAATCTGATATTGTTGTGGTTAGCTGGCAGCAGGTGCGGGCGGCTGAGGAGAGCGAGGACTCAGATGAGAGGCCAGGACCATTAGGGAGTGGACTGCTGCTTTCGGAGATGGTGGGGGCTGGCAGCAGTGATGAGGAGGTTCCCGAGGAGCCTGTGCCAAGTGCGTGTGCACGCAGGATTGCTCGTAGGAAAGAGCAGCTACAACAGCACGGGCGACTCGGGAGTAAGGCTGCAAGGTAATGGCCCCTCCTTCAAGAAGATAAAAGCCAGCTGTGAAAGGAACGTACGTTGCAGAAGGCAAAGACGTTTTGAAACTCCAGCCTCGTGGACATTCCAGTATCCTGAGTTTGTATTTGAAGATTCCTGTATTGCAAATTATTTCTTGTCTGTTATCTTTTGGCAAGTCTTGTACAGTTTGGCAAGGCTTGTGCTTATCACAGCTAATTATTTTGCAGAAGCATTAAAAGGTTTCTGTTCCCTTTGGATTGTGTTTGATTTGTTGGAAAAGAGCGTGGGTCAGAACAGATATATCAGATGTCTTCTTATATGTCTGTGAAAGTTACTTTGCACAGCCAAGCCATCAAAACAATATTGTACATTTACCTTTGGATGACAACTTTTGTGAGCAGAATCAAAGGTTTTATGAGAGTAGAGAATTCTGTGATAAGTCTTCAGCAGAGAAAAAGGAAGCTCAAGATACTAACTTCCAGTTTCAAAGCAGATCCAAAATTTTCCAAAACAAACAGGCTAAAATTCTACCTATACACCTAGAAAAATAAAATATCCTCACATTTAAGAAGCGACGCACTTAACATCCACCTATAGGCTTCACGCACATACATGCACACCCCCGAATCATACAATGGACTCACTTTAATGTGTTTATACGGAGGCGGTTTTCTGGAATTCCTCTCAATCTCAAGTGCTTCTTTACTTTCTCTTTGTGCTTTTAATTCCTGGAAGCGTTTTGCTGCTTCTTCAAGTGCTGTGTAAGTTTTTCCCCCAAAGCAGAAAAAAAAGCTAGCATTAGCAACTATAGTCAGAGATCCGCAAATACCAAAACTCATTTAAACAATTACATAGTGCAGAGCTCTCCAAACTTGGCAACTTTAAGACTGGTGGACTTCAGCTCCCAGAATTCCTCAGCCAGCAAAGCAATTACACTTGGCCAATAAACTTGGCTGGCTGAGGAATACTGGGAGTTGAAGTCCACCAATCTTAAAGTTGCCAAGTTTGGGGACCCCCTGATGTAATGTCTAGGCCTGGCCTCTACTTAAAATCAATGAGCTGAGTGACACATCTGTAATGGAATGTATGGATGAGCTGGGATGAAGACAGGAGGAAATGCTGCCTAGGAAACAATCAGATAAGAGAGGCAGGAGGCTGCAGTCGCTTAATGGCCAGAAGGAGAAACTTAGGGAAGAGCTGCCCTAATGGACCAAGTCCTTAAAAGTAGAGGTGGGAAATTTTGTGCCTTCAGGCTTGCAAGTTTTAGAATAGAATAACAGAGTTGGAAGGGACCTTGGAGGTCTTCTAGTCCAACCCCCTACTCAGGCAGGAAACCCTATACCAGTGGTGGCTAAGCTTTTTGGCACCGGGTACTGAAACAGGACTTGCGCGTGACAGAAACCGGAAGAGCAGCTCCCTGGTGCGCTGTGCAGGAGCGCTGGAAAGCGCGCCAGCCACCTGGTCTTCCGCTTTCTAATGCGCATGTGCACAGGAAGTCCAGCTGGCCAGCGCATGCAGGGGAGCTGCTCTTCCACTTTCCAGCACTTCCTCATGTGTGAAGACCAGCTGGCCAGTGTGCATGAGTGCCGGAATCCAGAAGAGGAACAGGAGATGGCTGGTGTGCCCGGAGAGATGGCTCTGTGTACCACTTCTGGCACGCATGCCATAGGTTCACCATCACGGCTCTATACTGTTTCAGGCAAATGGTCATCCAATCTCTTCTTCAAAACTTCCCAGGGTTGGAGAATTCACAACCTCGGGAGGCAAGTTGTTCCATCGATTGATTGTTCTAACTATCAGGAAATTTCTCCATAGTTCTAGGTTGCTTCTCTCCTTGATTAGTTTCCACCCATTGCTTCTTGTCCTGCCCTCAGGTGCTTTGGAGCAACCTTTTGGACCTCAGGGACCACCAAACTCATAATTTTAAATTCCGCGGACCACAAATATGAGTTTTGACTGACGATGGCTTGCTGACGGTGATGGGAAAGTCGGTCCCATATTCCAGAGCTGCGGTTGTCACAGGACTGGCCCTTTGGTCATCCTGGATCAGCTGCTCCTCCACCCGGGTGCACCGGCCTGCCATGGACTGGAGGAGCTGCTCCAGGAGGACCAAAGGGCCAGTCCTGTGACTACTGCACCTCTGGAATATGGGACTGACTTTCCCACCAACGTCAGCAAGCCACCCCGGGGCGGATTTCCCTCCTCCACCATTGGTCTTACCTTCCAGTTCCAGCTCGTGTGGCTCTACCCAAGGTAAAGTTTGTGCTCGGCCAAAGGGTGGGGACCAGCAGGTGGGAGGGCCATGTGTTCCCACACAGCCTGGATTAATGGCTTTGGGGGGGGGGATATTTCTCTGCGAACCACCAAAATTTTCTTGCGGACCACCAGTGGTCCCCGGGCCCACCGTTTGGCAACCACTTCTTTGGAGACTAGGTTGACCCCTCTCTTCTTTGGGGCAACCCCTCAAATATTGCAACTCATCACGTCACTCCTAGTCCTTCTTTTCATTTGATGTCAGTCCTATCAGGTACACCAGGCAGGAAGCATAACAAGATGAACTAATTAATGGTGGATTCTATATGTTTCATGTTAAATTTGATACTTGGGTCATTTCCCTCCCTTTTTTTGTACACCAACTTTTGTTGTTGTTTATTTGATTTGATTTGATTTGATTTGTCAATCGCTTACAAGATAATAGGTTTAAGTATAAACATGAGTAAGAATACAGAAAATAGGTACGATTAAATAGGGACAATAGGACAGGGACGGGAGGCACGATGGTGTACTTATGCACCCCCTTGTTAGTGCTGGATGCATGTTTTTTTCTGTTTTGTATTTTATTTTTGTTGATAAAACTAGGTAACATCATCAGTGCAACTGTGAGACTATACTGGCAGAATCCTGTCAGTCTGAAAGCACAAGCTTCCCATTCCACTTTTAATTACTTGATTCATTAGTCTTTCCTAATTTTTTTTCTCTGCTCATTAAGTAACTGCCGGCTCCTGCCTCTCTTATCTCAATGCAGGCATGATATTCCCCTCTGAAAAAAAAATCGGGGCCAGCCAAAAGAGACCCCCCCCTCCGCTCGCACCGCCCGGGCTCCGCTCAGGTATCCGGCTGGGGCTGTCAGGAGTTGCTACCGCTGGCGCGGCTCCAGTCCCGCGTTGCCTCGGGAAGGGAAAGGCAAAACCAGGAGCCGCTGCTGCCGTTGCAAAGCGCCGCCGCGGCTCTTCCTTTTTGCCTTTCCCTTCCTGAGGCAACGCGGGACTGGAGCCGCGC